GTGTGTGTGTGTGTGTGTGTGTACAGTATCCTTCATAAGTTTGGGAACACTACGTTTTACAAGAAAGTTATTACATAACGACCTATACATGTTTTTGGTTTAAATGCTTCGTAAGACGTCTAAATGATGATAAACATTTATCTAGAACACCTATAAGCTTGTACATGCCGAAAATATGTTGGACAATCATTTCACAGCATCGAAGCGTTTAAAATTGAATTTCGCGCTTTGGTCTATTATTCATATGTATATTATTACTTGTTTTGCGCAACGTCGTACTTGTGTTCATTGCATATATACAAGTTATTTAATTGTAGTTTAACGATTTCTATAAAAGTGGTAAATTATTTAAGTCGCAAGTTGATTTCAGACTCCGTAAAAATTGTAAAATGGCCCCGAAGAATCAGATTCGTATAAATCAAAATTTTAATTAAAATTCCATATTTTAATAGCATTATTAAATCTTTATTATTAATTGAAAACAGACAAAATAAACATACATGCGTACGGTATAGATAACGTATGTATGTACTTTTATTTCATCTTTCTTTAATTAAATAATTATTTACAAACATGTAAAACGTAAGACGTTTCCAAACTTATAGAGGGTACTGTGACACCAAAAATGACTATAAATTACAATTAAATCATACATATATGGTAATTCCAACTAAATTTTTTTCTTTAAGTGTGCTCATTTAATTGTAAATTTTTATGCTGTATTTATATACTTTGTACTAAAAAATATTTTAAAAAACTGATAAAATTAATTTTACATCTTACTAATAAATATTTGAAAAATTCAATAAAATCATTACAATCATGTTATCAAACATGTTATTTCAAAAATTTCGACAATGGAAATTAGATATATTGAATCTTTTATGATTTCTTATACCATTAAAACACAAGTTTCTTTTTTGTTCTACATATTAATTAATGCAAAATTTATAATCATAATTCAAAAAAATTAACTTTGTTACCAATTAGAATCAAAATTATATAAGTTCTTCAATCAAGTGTAAAATTTATATAAAAAAAAATCATTCCCATGCCTCTTTTCCATATATATATATATATATATATATATAAAGAATAATGACAAAATTGTTTTCTAACGTGTAAAATTCCCAAAAGTTTTCAATAGCATTTTTTAGAATAAAAGTCAAATAAAAATATCACTTTTCAGTAATATTAAAAAATTCTAAATATTAAAATTTATGATGTAAACATTTAAAAGACTCAAAATTTGAAAATCGTACTTACAATTAGTTTCATAAAGCTAATAATAATTATGCCCATTATTGTAAAATTTCATAATATTTCGTCATTGACTGCATTTACCTTGAACGGTGGCAGAGAAAGGTGAAGCTGGATGATCGTTATTAACTATTTCTGCAGCGCTGGTGGTAATGGTACTATAATGATCAGTTTTAGATTCTGTTTTAAGTCCTCGATGATCCAAATCCCAAAATTGAAGCTCTTCTTCACGCACTGACGCGCCCGAGTCTGCTTGAAAGCTTGATGAGAACGTATCGCTACTCGACACTTCTGGACTAGATTCTTGAAGATTTTCAATATACTTGTTGCTCCACCTTCTCCGTAATCCCGTGACAGATATCCGTGGCATTGTCTGCAGCATTTCACCATTCACCACCACTTTTTAACTTTTTCTCTAGATACACTATTTTTGTATTGTCACTGTTTTTATGACCTCACACAATCAAGAATCGTCCTCAATAATCCATGTGAGATTCATAAAGTAATCATAAGTAAATATGATCGATAGTACATGAAATGTTAATGAAGATTTTTTTCTTCATGTCCTTCATTAATTGATGAAAGCACACAATCACAATTTTTAATGCAATATTCTGAGAAGAAAAAAATCGAGATCAACACTGAAAGTTAATCTTACACCCATTTTTCTTTCCACATGTGATGCATTTTTGTATTCCATTTCTCGTAAGGGCAAGAATAAGTTAAGCACATTTATACGTATATTGTGTGTGTGTGTGTGTGTGTGACGCGCGCGTGTGCGCACACAGAATGGTCCACCTAAAATACCGAAATATATCAAAAACAAAATTCAAATATAGAACAAAATATTTCAAACAAAAATTGTATGGTAAAGGAAGACAAATAATAACAAAATCAATTAAAAAAAAAATCGATTTTTCAGAGTCACCTTCACTTTTTAAAATAAAATTACTTTTTTTACATTATATATATATATATATATATATGTTCACGCGAGCGATGTGTATCATATTTGCAGTGCTAATTTTGAACTTAATCACCGTCCTTGGAAATTT